ACTCTCTGGTCTGAGGGCCAACGCTCTAACCGCTGAGCCAAACCAGCCAGGGCCAGGTGAAATCTAATTTCCTCATCTGTATCTTCACCCTTTGAATCTGGGCTAAGCATATAGCTGTTCTGACCAGTACAGCACATAGAAGTGACCTGGTGCCAGTTTCAGTCCTATATTTTAAAAGAACTGTCAGCTTCCACCTCCTCCTTCTTGGAACCCAGCTGCCACGCGGGGAAGAAACCCAAGCAGCCACACCCACGTAAAGAGAACTGAGGGGATCTCTCAGGGCACAGCCAGCACTGATCGGCGAGCCACGTGATGAAGCCCGTTTGGAAGTGGATCTTCCAGCTGCATTCACAGGGCTTTCCCCTTGAGCTCTGCCCAAATTACAAAACCAGGAGCAAATAGGATTGTCATTTGAAGTCTCTAAATTTGGGGGCAGTTTGTCACAAAGCCAAAAAGCCTCTTAAATCAGTTCTTCAAATTCTATATAAAAAGGGAAAGAGAGCAGAGGCAAGGTGTTCGTTCATGAAACATTCCTAGAACACCTGCTATGTGCCAGACTCTGCCAGGTCTTGACACTGCCCTTCTGTTGCTTATAGTCTGTGGCTAAGACAGACATTCAACACCTCACTACAATGAAGTGGGATTCTATAGAGACGGAGGACGGTGAAGTGTAAAGGGGTGTGGGAACACTCGGTGATCTCACAGGCCCTTCCAACTCTGTTACTGTGTAACTGGACGAAGAAGAGTAAGTACATCTGTGAGATGGCCACTTAGAGATAGTCACACAAGATAAACTATCTAGAGAGTTAGAGTATCGGTGAAGATGTGGGGTTTCAGGAGCCACCCAACAAGCACCTGGTGAAAGCAGGGAGTTGGCCCTATAGCCTACATTCAAGAGTAGAATACGCTTATGAAAGAGGCTTTGAATATGTGATAAGCAGAGTCAGGGAAATACACTTTCCAGGGCAACTAAGGTTTCAAAATAAATTGTGATGGGAGAATTTTACCTGTTCATTGTTTAATATTTAAAAGACAAACAATATAATTGCTTCAAAGTATTCTTTGAGTGAGGAAAAAATATTTTTTCACTCCCAGAGGTTTTCATGATTGCCAAGAACGAACAAACTCTTAAAGGTAAATTTCTATTTTCCTACATAAGCAGGTACCTATCAGACAAGCAGATTGGGTGAACAACTACTCTGTAAAGACGAGTAAATTCAAGTCCTACTCTGATAATGCTGCCCCTTAAGACATCTTCCCAAAGTCTGAATTACTCTAAAGACCAAGAGATATGATTGTAAAACACTGATAAAGTATGTACTGGCCCCAAGGTTTTACCAAGTCAAACAGAATTAACTGCTAACCAAAAACCCATGGACAGGAAGAAGATTTAAGAGCCTTCCCTTGACAAAGTTTGGGAGAATTTAATCTAATGCTGCTGGAACTGTGTCCATTCAGCTTCTTGATAGCGGAGGAGGAAGACTGAAAGCCAACCATTTGATTTTCTAAGTACTTTTGATTTGGCTGATGTTGAAGTCCTTCCTTAAACTCCCATCAGAAAAAGAAAAAAAACATCCTTTGAGTCTTTGATGGAGACTGCTAATAGCCAAGAAAAAAAGAACAGCCAATTCATGCTTCTCAAATTTTCCTTTTGAATTACCTTTGTTAATGCTAAGGACTAGTTTGCTTTGGTTAGTGTTCAGACTTGACATAAGCTATTAATGGTCATGAATAAATAAAAATGTTTTGAATGTCCATAGGTAGAGGGCATTTTACTCTCTCCTATAATCATCTCACAGGATCTTAAACAGCTATTGTTCTAAGTAAAGACACAACAGGAACACATTCATGAATTTCCTGTTTTCCATCTTAAAGTTCTCACACATGCAAAACACCTCATGCCTAACACCCAGCTCTCTGCCTCCTCCTGTATCCCTCACACCTAGTCGCTCCTGCCACTCTTGGAATGAAGCTTTCCTGGAGCAGGACAGGCAGGCGGAGGTCAATACCTAAATTGTTTTGTGGGGTTTTTGTTTGTTTTTATTATATATAGAGAGGAATGAAAAGATAGAAACACTCATGTGAGAGAAAAACATCGATTGGTTGCCTCCACTACATGCCCCAAATGGGGTTGAACCTGCAACCTAGGTATGTGCTCTGACCTGGAATCAAACAGCAACCTTTTGGTGTAGGAGACTATGCTCCAACCAACTGAGCCACCCAACCAGGGTGAACACCTGACTTGTTGACCAAAGCTTGCTGCTCTCACGAACAGGTCCAGGAGATTACAACAGAAATGGATTCAAGTCACTTCCCCTTGTTCAGGATGTTATGAAGTCACTGTCAACATTATTGTCAGAGTCAATGATTCCTGTGGCTATAGGACCCTCGCAGAGGGATAAGCTCACAAGTCAACGCCAATGAGAGCGGCTTCTTGTTTATAACACCCAGGATAATGCTGGGCCCTTTTAGAGTTTTTCCTGCCTCTCAAATGCCTGGTGAACATCAGGCTACCTCTGACCCCACAGTGACCTCCAGGCCGCGTTGAGGCTCCTGGACAATAAGAGATATGGCATTAAAGGGGCCCCTGAGAGATTTTATTAGCTCTGCTTCCATATGAGGAGGAGAAAGCAAGCATTAAAAAGGATGACAACTTTGCCCCATAAGATATTAAAGCAAAGTCAGTGTTTAAGAGAAAAATTACAGTGAAAAGAAGAAACTCTCCTTTACATCAAAGACCTAAAGTGAGAAATACAAATGAATTGTATATGAGTCCATATGAATACCAATCTGTAGCCATTACAGAACACCTGATGACTATAGCCCATGATACACTGAACTGAGATTTAGGGTCCACAAAGTATGACCCCCCGCCCACATACACCTTCTTGCCTTACAAATTCTTTTTACACATACTGTGATTTAAAATATGTACAAAAGCTAAAAATAACTACCTTTACAGTCTGTTGCAACTACTCAATCTGCAGGGAACCTAGGATTGGGGGGATGGAGGGGCAACTAAATCACTGAGCCTAAAAAGAAAGCTCTAAAGAAGGCAAGGAATGAATGAGCAGACATCGAGAAAAAGGAAAGAAAATTTGGTAAAAGATATGGTTGGGGCAGAAACTTGTTTATTTCCTTATGTACATAACTAGGCCCTGTAATGCTGAAATATTACTGCTCCAACCAATGCAGAGGTCACAAAGCACCCTCAAGTCTTTCACTTGGCCACAGGTTCGCCAAGGAGTGGATAAACAGGGCACAGGATGGAGAGTTTTACCTCCCACCTGTGTTTTACAGACGCCCAGTTCATCTAATGTACTCTGACCTTGCCAACACTACTGAAGTCAGTCCAGGCCTCCTCCCTCTCTATTCAGCCTTCCAGCCACCTTCATCCGGAATCTGTGATTCATTTTTCAACAGAGGTAAGTGAATAGCGCACTTCAGGTGCAGTGTGAAAGCTGCCAGATAGAAATAAGCAATGTGAAGGGCCTGGCCAAGACTGCAAGATGTATGCCTTTAGTTTTTTATTTTTAAATGAACTTAGTAGGTAAGTCAAAGGCTTCTCCGTAAATAGTGTAGCAGGGTCCTGGGTTACACTTTAGATCTGAAACCTCTGCCTGCATTTAAAATTGGCAAAAATCACTTAGGTCTGTGGGCCTCTCCCCCTACCTCCCATTTTTAAATTAAACCCTACTCCCAGCATCTCCCGTTTTCTACATCACAAGGGAGAGCACAAGAATTAGGAAATGCCTCTACCTCATTCCGCCAACACCTCAAATCGCTATTCCAAACTCAAGCAGGCACAGCACAGCAGTAAGACACTTAGAGCACCAGGCTGGAGCCGCAGCAGTCTCTGCTGGATACCGGCCGCAGACCTACTCGGGTTACCCATGTACACTCGCTCCCTTCGCCTCACCCGCCCTCTCCCCACAGTGAGGACTCTATCCTCTCCCTTTACTACACCGTAAGTAATCTGACATCACTTCTGCCTTCCGGCTGTTTTTACATCGGTCGTTTTTTCTTCCCCTTTCCTTTCTTCAGCCGTATTCAAGAAGCAGAGATTATTTATTCTACGTTTTGTTCCCAGAAATGGCTCGGTGAGAGTGCTAAGAGGAAACCCCACAGCCATCAAGCCTCCTGCTGTACACAAGAATCTCAGACTTTCTCCTCTCTTCTGGGCATCCAGTTCTGTAGGTTTCCCATCACTACTTTTCAGGTATTCAAAGCGGGGGCGGGGGGGGGGGGCGAGCCCCAAGCATCTCTAAAGTCATCAAAAAGGTGGCTTTGAGCATCTTACCGTTCACATATTTGCATACCGTTTGATGTAGCCTTTAATTTCAAAGCAGGTCTCAAACACTCAGGAAGATATGTTACAGTAAGAGCCAGGAATTGCAAATGCGCTTGCCTCAAAGACTCAGGAGTCCAGTCCCGGGCAGGAAATAAAGTTCTAAGCGGCTTTGATGTGCTTCCTCCCCGCACCGCTCCCCAGGGCGGGTCATTCATCTCCGCCGCGGAGAGACCACCTTGCCTGAATTTAACCAAATGCATCACACGTGGGAGCCAAGTGGCAGATTTAGTAATCCAATGAGCTCCCCAGCTCCACCAAATTAGTTACCACCGCTTCAACTCAGCTGGGATCCCCATGCATTTTGCGAAGACGAAAAGGAATGTTGTATATAAATTGGGGGGAATGGGTGGGAAGGGACAGGGGACCCAGACCGCGGCGAGTAAAACGCCTTGGCGGCGTGGTGAGAGCTTGTTTCTTTTTTAAACCACTCGTTTCGGACTGAAATATCGAGCCAGTTCAGGTCATTTCCTGAGTAATACTACAAGTTAAAACAAGATTCAGAAAATCTATTAATCTTTCATTGCGCTGCCTCCAGAATGGGAGTGCGAGGCGGGTAGGATGCAGGGCTGGGGGCGATGGGGAGGGAGGGGGTTTTGTCGAAAAGCCAATGCCCACGAAACCGGAGCTCGCGACCTCAGCTGTTCCTTACCTCGCTCAGCTCGGCCGAGGAGTCGTTTCCGTATTTCATGGCAACTCCAGAATTCATGACTGCACTTTTCAGAGCCGAGCTCCTCCTCCCCTCCAGGTCTCGGAGCTCGTGAGTTAGGCTTAACAGGCTCGATGTCCACCGCTCGGTCCCTCCTGGCACATTTTAGTCTAGACAGCCATTTTCACCCTGGACAGTGGTGAAGCCCAAACGAAGGATGCTAGCACCCCGAAAAGGACCCGAGCCGGCTCGCGTTTCACGGACGAGCCATTGCTGCAGAAAGCTGGGTGGCGTGGCGCGCTCGCAGCTGCTGCAGCGGCCGGGCCGGCGCGGGGACCCGCCCGCGAGCGCCCACCGCCGGGTCCCGGGGCAGTGCCACCCGCGGCGCCGCCTCGCCACTCCTACGGTGCCTCGCCGACCCCCATGATCCGGCTGGAGGGCACCTCCCAGCAAGATCCCGCACCCTAGGGGCTTCGTCGAGCCCTGGAAGAAACCCGGGCAGCGGAGCGAGGAAGATCCGCTCCTCCGGTTCCTGGGGAGGAAGGAAAGCTAGAGAGAGCCGGAGCGGGGCTGCACTTCACGCCGAAGTTTCCCTGTTGAATCGTCTGGAGTTGTAAGTGGTTTCTGATTGAACACAGCTGTCTAGCTGCTGGCTACGGGGTGCGCGGAGGAGGCGGGGCCAGAAAGAGAAAAAGGGGGGAAAAGCCCGCAGGAGGCCGAGCCGAGACGTGCGGGGGAGAGCTCTCTACGTTGGTGATTACAGTACCCACGTCCAGGAGGGAGAGGAGAAACAGGAAAAGCCACCTGAGTAATCGTGCAGAAAAATGAAAAACAAAACAAAAAAAAACTTCCCTCCTGGTAGCCACTTTCCACGATTCAACGAAGTCAAGACAAATCTGAACACTGTACGTACGTCAGGCCACGCTGTGCACTTCTCATGGTACATTAAGATTTTACTAGTGTGGGGCGGTTATTTTCCCTGATCAGTCTAAAGTCAACGCTGCGGGTGTAAATTCACTGTCAAACCCCCTCCCTGTCGCTGGGGGCAGATTACATTTTCTGCATGTCTATAATAAAGATCAAGATGCCCCATCCCTTGCAAGATGTAAGACTGGCTCAAATAACCTATCGTACCCAATTCCCAGACCTTCCTTAAAAAAATATTACATTTCCCATTTCCCATCTTCTTCAACCCCTAGACCTTCCTTTAAAATCTTACTGCTCATCTGAGCAGAGCTAGATTTGTATTTCTGGGGCTTGGCGTATGAATCAGAAAAGATTTAAGGGGCTGTTATATCCAGCGGACTCCTGGGATCAGAGCTTCCCTTCAGCCTTGAGCTAAAAACAAGGCAGGGAGGAAATTTTCTATCCTAAAGGTTAAGGTCCCCTGAACTTGAGATGCCCTGAAACAAGTCTGATCTCTTAAAACAGTAGGTTTGAGGGGGATTATCAGTCTCTGTCTACACAATGGGAACTGTCTCCACCCCCACTGACAGACCTTGGCATTTCCTAAAGCATTCTATGAAAAAGCCATTGTATTGTAAATTTGCAAAGTCTTTTCTCTCTCTCTCTCTTTTTTTCTTTCCCAAATAGGATGTTTATTTTGCTCTTTAGGAAGGAGCAAAGAGTTTTACATTTGCATATATCTTCTTGCCCATCTGCCTTCCTGTTGAGTTTATTCATTGCCTGATGGAAGCACTATTGGGCTGAGGAAGAGTTTGCTGCTTTTTTGAGGCCCTGAGTCCTACCTTCTGGGGCACTGCCAGACTAGAGCACATTGGGAGAAACTCTTCTGCATGGGGAGGCGTTGGGAAGCCACATTATTTTACTTCATTGAAACCTGTTGAGAACTGACCCTGTGCTTGAAGTTGGAGATGGTGAAAGAATATAAAAATATAAAGAAGACTCAAGCACCAACCTTGCCCATACAGTGTTTATAGTCTGATAAAACATAAATAAAAATGAAAATTGTAGATAGAAAATGATACTTGCTATAAAAGCAGTACAAATGAAGATCTACTGCAGTTCGGAAGAGGAAATAGGATTTTGGCTGGGCTGGGTTGGAGAATAAGACTCTGTAAGGGAATCTTAGGAGAAATAGCATGTGAAACGATCTTTGAAGAATGGCGGGACCCAGCAGAAATGGAGTAAGGACAAGGTATCCCCGGCAGTGGGACCACTGTGAGGGGAAGTGTGGATGGAGGCTGGAATGAGCAAAGCATGAGTGGGGACATTCCATTCTGGAATGGAATCTGGATTAGATGCGTGAGTTGAAGCTAGATCATGAACAGTTTTGAGTGCGAAGCTAAAGAAATGGGACTTTTGATAGGCAATGGAGAGCCACTTAATGTTTTTGAGCACAAAAATGTGCTTTTAAACGGTCCAGGGACTTTGTATCATGAGCAACTAACATGAATTCAAATAGACTAGTGCTGAGTGTTTAAAAAAACATATTTTTAAAGAAAGTAGTTGAGGTGTTTAAAGGAACATTTTTCATACTAGAAGGCCCCTAAAACCAAGCAGATGACTTAATCTGGTATTCAACAAAAAAAATGATCTGTTCCAAAAGTGGAGGAAAAATTGGCAGTGTTAAACTTATTAAGAAGCAATATGTCTGTAGGTTCTACTTTATGGACGATAAAAAACATTTTAAAGAGTAATGTTGGCAATAGGGATTTTCTTCTTAAACAATGACTTTAATACTTAACCCCCACATAAGATGTAATTCCACTACAATCTGGCAGCAGTAAATGTGGTAAATTGAAAGTGGGACATGGACATGCCAAGTGAACTACCCAACAGTTGGGCAAGAGGCTACACACAGGGCCTAATTTAAGTTTGGGCAATGGAAATGGATTTGGGGGGGGGGGTAGGTGGCATGTGTGAGATTCTATAAAAAGAGAGTAGACAGAAACTGTGGTGGAAAAAGAACTTTAAAATGATTTATAGAACTAGAATTTGTCTGAACGGGATTTGGGGCAATGCCTCAAAAAAAAAAAAAAAAAAAAAAAAAAAAAGGAGGGGGATTCCAGAGAAGAAATAGGTTAAGAAGGAAACTGCATTTGGGATATCACCAGTTGAAGGTGGCATCTGGATATTCAAGTGGAAATGTTTAGCAGCAAGGTTAAAAGGTAGCTATGGAGATAAGTCAGTATTGAGATGGAGATGGAGGTTTGGGGTTACCCCTATTAGAATAATAAATGATGAGAGAGAACATCGAAATGAGGTAAGGTTGCCAAGGAGGAGAAGACAGAGAAAAGAGAAGTGGTCTGAGGACATTATCTTAAGGAAGGTCTTTTTCATGGAGGCAAAAGAATAAAAGAAGAAATGTGGGGAAGGCCACTGGCAGAAATAGGAAGATAACCAGTAGAACTCTGAGTCTGGAAGTCTAAGGGAGTAGACAGAAGGGGCAGCATTGCCCGGCCCGTGTGGCTCAGTGGTTGAGTGTCAACCCATGCACCAAGAGGTTGCTGGTTCGATTCCTGGTCAGGGCACATGCCCAGGTTGTGGGCCAAATCCCCAGTTGGAGGCATGCAGGAGGTGGCCAGTTGATGTTCTCTCTCATCAATGTTTCTATCTCTCTCTCCCTCTCCCTTTCTTTCTCTAAAATCAATAAAGAAAAAAATTATTTATAAAAAAGGGGAGCAGCATCAATTTTATATGCTACAGAGTGGGCTTAGAGGGGAGAAGGCGGATGAAGATAAAAGTCCATTTCAAAGACATTAATATCCATCAAAGGTAAATTTCTACAAAGCTAAGGAAACAGAACCCAGAGTGCTACAGGCAATGAGGAGGAACTGGGCTGGTAACTACGCTTTCCATAAATTTGATGGTGACAGGAAATCAGGAGCTGGGATATTCTCTGAGAGTAGGTAAGCAATGTTGAGTAGAAGGTAGAATAGGCATATTTGTAGTCTGTAGCTAAGGGAAACCATGGAGACCCCGAGAGAGAAGGGAGATGGAACAAATTTCCTGAAAAGGGAAGGAAGGAAAGGACCAAGGACAGTCCCATGAGATTAGCTCTGGAATAGGCTTGAACAAGAGGAGGATTCCAATGCTCCTTCCTAGGACACCTGGTACAGTTGGGACCCCTGGAGAATTTATAGACTAGTAAAAGGAAGACCTCACAGATACAAAATAACTAATAGCATTAATTTGAAGAGTTATCTAACATCTTCTGTGTGGTTGTGGAGGTGTAATAAAGACTAATGATAACTTATAATCAAATGTTAAGTTAAGGAAAGAAAGACCATAGATTGTCTGTCAATGCAAGGAGAATAGAATCGTCGTGATCCCCACCCTTGAAACTGTTCAAGCACAGGTTAAAGGCTGGTGGGCCACACAGAAAACCTGTGGTATACAGAATTTCATGCAATATGAGAGAGTCTAAATCAGTTATCTTCTCATCTAAGTTTCCATGAAATGAAAGTTTTTTTGCTGTAACTTAAATGCCTTGTGATTTTTTTTAACCTCTTAGTCTGGGAATCTCTACTATCAAGAAATCTAAGATATTGTAGTAGACAAGAATGCAACCAAGTCAGTATCCTAAGGAGCTCCTTAGCATGTCATCTCAGCACACTAAAGGGGAATAAAGTCCCAAGTGCATTTCCAATGTAATAAAAGGTCTCAAGATTAGCATTCACCATAGTTTACCAAGTGGATAACTGCATCTCCACACATCCTTTCATAATGTGGCAGCCTCGACATGATCTCTCCAGAAGATCATCTCCAAGTTTGCTTCAGCAGACAGGAGGCTCCTGTTCAGAAGTATGGGCAGGAATTTAATCAAGATCAGGGAGCACGTCTGGGAGAAGGAGGAAAATCTGCTTTCCAACCTGGCAGTATCTTGGAGCTTGGGTACCCCTCCTTCCTGGGCCTTGTCTTCTTTAGAGACTAATCTAGTTTCATCTGGTCTCTGGGAGAAGAGGAGACAGTGAGCAGTAGTCCTGGGAATGCAGAAGTTGCGGTTTGGATGAGTGGATGGTTCCATGTACCAACTGCACGCTGTGGGCACACTGGCATTGTGGTTCTGCTGTCAGGGGCAGTCTGGCCCCTCTCTGAGTGACTGCCGACCTTCATGATTTCTACACAGCAGGGATTCTATTCTGGGTTTCCGTCTGTGCCTTCTACTAGTAATAAACATCAGATTAATTAAAGCAATCTTGGGTGCAAGTCTTGAACCTCCAGTATTAATGAAATTGATTGAAACTTTGGGACTGCCGCAGCCCTCTATGACATGTCTCTATTCTTAGGGTGTCCAAGCCACCCTTGTCTGCCACAGCATTCCACTGTGCGGGGGCAGGCCTGTCCTCCAGCCTACACAGGACCCAAACTCCAAAGTTGCCCTTCCACCTGGACTCTCTTAAACTAAACACATCATTGATACCTCAGATTTTAGGAAGAAAGCAGTCTGGTTAAGCTAATTCACATAAAGGTGAAAAATACTCATAACCTTCTCAACCAAGCCCAAAGTATTTGCATTGTAAAAAGAGAATGCTTTGAAATAATGTTAAATTGGTGGAATTTCCTGAAGAAGAAAGTGACTTTTCCGAGGAAGGAGGATTTCAAGATACAGAGACAATAGGAAGTCCTAGTCCTCTAAGTCCTTGAGGGTCATAAAAGTCAGGGAACCCTCAAAGTATACAC